ATAAAATGGGAGAGCTCAGGGGGTTAGAGCACATTCCTGACATACACAGGGTCCCAAGAGTGCTTCCCAGCATGCATAACCCTTGATACCACTAAGTAACGCTCAATGCTTGCCATGATGATCCCTAGGCATCACTGGGTGAGGCTCTGGACGCCTTGAGCACCGCTGCACATAAATAGCATCACAGGACAACTGAACTGTTAGGTCTACACAGTTTAAGTGTGAACCTTTTTAGGTCTATACAGCCAGGTTGTGTATTACCAAGAGTGGTCCCTGGGTCCAATGAGCACTGCTTGGAACCCACCCCTCCCCCCCAAAAAAAGACTCAAAAGCATCAAGAGGGATATAGGCAAGAATCTACAGTCAGTGATAGAATACACAGGAAGGAAATCTCTTCCAGGATGCCAACCAAAAAAGACCATGGGCAGACAAAAAGTTAAGGGAGTGAAGCAGAGTGAGATATTGCCTTTTCCCCTCCCCCCACATACCTCCCCCTTCTCTGAGAGAGCCACTGTGGTGAGTTGTGATCCTCCAGAGTAGGTGATCAGGGCTTAGGGTTGGAGGGCAGCATATGTCTTGCATATGTGAGGGGTCAATTCCTAGCACCAAAAAAAAATTTAAAAAAAAAATAAAAGCAGGGTGATCAGGTCTCTCTCTGAGATAATGCTGCCATGAAACTGTCCCTTTCTATTCAGTCATAAGTTGTGATGTGTGGCAGAGCTAAACTTTTCAAAAGTAAACAATACTTGGGTAGTCTACAGACAAGGATTCTAGAGAGTAGAGAAAGTCAGAAATGGAAAGCATAAAAACAACTGCCAAAAGAAACTGAGTGACTCCCCAAAATTGTCACAGACACATTTCTGATACCACATGGGAAAGAATGGGGAAAAAAGGAAAATAAATTCCTGATGTTATGTGCAGGAGTGGAGCTGGGAAGAGATCTACTGAAATGACCAGTCTGTCATCAGATACCACCTGAGAGGAGTCCTGCAGGACAGGAAGAAAAGGCAAAGAGAGAAAGATCTGTGGTCCACTCTGCAGGGGGGAAAAAAAAGAAGAGAAAAGAAAAAAGAGGCCATTCCAGTACCTCAACCCCAGCAATAACAGTAGCTACTATAGCCCAGATGAAGGTGGAGAGTTGACAATAATGATAACAGAAAAAGTGCTCAACAAGCAGAGCACTGGCCTAGAACTACCTCCAGGTATTTGGCCTACCAGGGTCTGTTTCCTTGCCTGAAAACACTAATAATGACATATATTGGTTTTGGAAAGCACCCATAACAAAAACTAAAAACTGGATAGTTTTTTTTTTTAATTCAAAGGGGATTTGGACACCTGGTGGTGCCTGGGGGACTGTGGGGTGTGGTAGACTGAACCCAGGCATCCTACATGCAACACATGCAAGCGCCAAATTGGGTAGTTTTAAACAATAGAACTTATTTGTTTCATAATTCTGGAGACAAGAAATCTGGAAGTCAGTAGAGTCATTTCCTATTCCTGCAATTTCCAGCTTCTTTGTGGTCATAAGTAATTCTTGCCATTCCTTAGTTGCGACAGTATTAAGTTAAATCTCTTGTCTCTATTTTCACAGGGCCATCTTCTATGTGAGTCTCCCTCTTCTTTTAAGAGTACCAGAAATTTGATTTTAATACAGCAAGATTTCATTTTACTTGATTTCCTCTTCAAAGACCTGATTTTATTTTTCTTAAGAAAATTTTTTTCTATTCGCCCTCTCCTCTCTGGAAAGAAAGATGGCGGCCACATGGGAGCCTTGTGGACAGCAGGTATGAGCCGGGAGTGTGGGGGCGACTAAAACCTCATGGAAAGGGGGGCGTTTCGCTCCGCCCTTCACGCCCTACCGAGGCCACCGGTTGCCCCCCGCGAGCGGCTCTCCAGCACGGCCACGACTCCAGAACACAGAAACCAATTTCTTAACTATCTGACTTTCAGTAGAAATACTTCCAGGGTCAATAGGTAAAATAGCAGTAATCCAAAACCAACATTTAATTCTCGAAACCAGCTGTAGAAAGCAAATCACTCCACAATGCTTTTTCAGCATGCCTGATTTGGGGGGGGGGGGATAAACTCTAAATAATAGTGGTGAATCTTTTATTGGAACAATGAATCTAATCAAAGCAGATAGAGTGTTAACTAGAATTCATCTGCCTCACAGGGACGGGGAGGGGTGGGGGGTGGGGTTTTATTGGGGTTCTTCATGGTAAAAAATAAGTATTGGTAAAGGGAAATGTGTTTGATATTTGCATGACTGAGACATAAACCTGAAAGCTTTGTAACCTTTCCCACAGTGATTCAATAAATAAATAAAATTAAAAAAAAAAAAAAAAGAAAATTTTTTTCTGGGGCTGGAGCAATAGCACAGAGGGTAGGGTGTTTGCCTTGGACATGGCTGACCTGGGTTTGATTCCCAGCATCCCATATGGTCTCCTGAGCACTGCAGGAGTAATTTCTGAGTGCATGAGCCAGTAGTAGCTCCTGTACATCGCCGGGTATGACCCAAAAACAAAAACAAAACAAAACAAAACAAAAAAAGAAAATTTTTTTCTGGGGCCACAGCAGCTAAGGTACTTGCCTTACAATATGGCCAACCTTGGTTTGATCCCCACCATATTGAGTACAACCAATAATAACTCTAGTGCAAAGCCAGGAGTAACCCCTGACCATTGCTAGGTGTGCCAGCACCCTTCAAAAAAAAAAAAAAACTTTTCCCCCTCCAGCATGTAAATGATAAATGACCTAGCTCCACAACTAATCAACTAATCTCAAAAGATGTCAAGCCACTGAATCATTCCAGGTAGATTAATCTCTGGGCTGAGAACTCTGGGCTGAGAACTAAGAATGGGGACAAGCAGGTGCCCCTCCCTTCTGGACAAGTCCCACCCACACCCAACATCCTCCAGTATATAGACAACCCAGCTCCATAAATGAACTTCCACAAGCTGCTAAGCAGCCAAACGACACTCCAAGTGTCCCAGTACTGACAGCTGAGTAGGTAGGAGTTGCAGAGAAGCTCACCAAGCTCAATTAGTGAAAACAACACAGAAGGCTTGAGTAGCACCAACCAGCTCAGTAGATTCCCATGATTTTAGTAACAACACTGTAAGATAAAACAACTATCACAAATTGACTTTATTGATTTATTTTTTGATAATTTCATTTGCCATGTTGTTGTAACAAGCAATTAAATAAATCTGTTTGTGCCTACTAAAAGGGTAGGCTTGGGGCTGATAAAGAACCTGGGGACATTGGTGGAGAGACGATCACGTTGGTGCCAGAACTGGCGTTGGACAATGAATGCCTGAAACAACAGTATTATGAACAACTTTGTAAATTACACTGCAAAAACTTTACAGTGTGAAAAAAAAAAACACTTGGGGAGGCGCGGAGCAATAGCATAGCAGGTAGGCATTTGCCTTACATGCAGTCAACCAAGGTTCGATTTCCAGCATCCCAAATGGTTCCCCAAGCAATGCCAGCAATAATTCCTGAGTGCAGAGCCAGGAGTAACCCCTGAGCATCACCGGGTATGACTCAAAAAGCAAAACAAAACAAAACAAAAAAAAACCTTTTTCTTTGTGTGTGTGTGTGTGTGGGTGTGGCAGGGTGGTTGGGGCCATACCTAGTGGTGGTCAGGGTTTTCTCCTGGCAGACTAGGGGGACCATACAGAGTACCAGGAATCAAAGCCAGGTTGACCGTGTGCAAGGCAAATACCCTACCAGTTGTAACTATCTCTCTGGTCCAAGAACTCAGAACTTTTCATTGTAAATTAACAATGCCAATCCCCGCCTCAATCCCCAAGTTAGGATCTACTTGGGAAAAATCTCAAGAATCAGTGGAGAAGCCAAACAAGCCAACACAACAGTTTCAGCACTTAGTGTCAATCTGTGAGTTCTGATCTCAAACTGCTTTACATATCCATCCCTAATCCTAATAACCCAAACACTTCTGAGTCAAACATTTAATTGATTCTCTAGAATGTCAGTTATTTCTAGGTTATATTTTTAGGAGAAAGATTAAAGGCTCCTATTCTCATTCCTTCTTCAATAAATGGGCCTGGGACACCACTCAACTGAGAGAAACAGAGTCAGATGTCAACTGCTATCTTTATATCAAAATTAATTCCAGATGGGTCAAAGTCTTAAAGATTAAAATCTTTTTAAAAAATACACATAGAGTTACTATTTTTTATGATTTTGAGGTAGAGAAGCATGCTTTTTCTAAACACTGGCATAGGACGAGGAAAAAGCTGTAAGAGATTATTTTGACTTCCTGAAAATGTAAAACTTCCAGACACGAGAAAATTACATAAACAAAGCTGAAAGACAAATTATTGACTCCTGAGTCCAGAGCTGTGAACAATTCTGCACTCTATGTAATAATCATCATATTAACTCTAAGAAAATATTACTGGGGGCCAGGAAAATATCTCAAAGTGTAATGCATGTGTCTCTGTATGCTGGTTCAACCCCTGGCAACACATGGTTCCCCAAAGCACCATTGGGAGTTACTCCTAAGCAGTCCTGACCATAAGATACGGTCTAAAAATCAAAAAAGAAAACATTACTGGGGCTGGAGCGATAGTACAATGGATAGGGCACTTGATTTGCACACAGCTAACCCAAATTCAATTTCCAGCATCCCATTTGGTCCCCTGAACACTTCCAGGAGTGATTTCTGAGTACAGAGCCAGGAGTAACCCCTGAGAATCACCAAGTATGGTGAAAAAAAATGCCAAAATAAAACATTATTGTGAAAATGTAAATGCTAAGTGCTACAATGAAAAATGAAAATGCCCAAAACACAGTTGTAAAGATGTACAACTTTTAATATCCAAGGAAATGCAAATGGAATCAATTATTGAGAATCATGTCTCAGCTATTACTCAAAGCATTTTATTTGGACTGATTTATTTTTCATGAACAGGCACTATCATCCCCATTAGCAAAAATGAAATTGAAAGACAGATAATTAAATGACTTACCCACAACTACACAGTAAATGGCAGAATCAGAATTCAAATCCAACAGGCTGGATCCAAAGTCATATTTTAAACTACCTTGCTGTGCTAACAAGACCACACTTCAACTGTCAGATGGAAAAAAACAAAAAACATCTCAGTGTTACAGATGATGTGGAAAAACAGGCAATCTTATAAATAGTAGAAGCTAACATTCTTAAATACAATATTGTTCTATGAATAAACATTTTAAATATACCTATTCTTTAATTCAGCTATTTCATTTCTTGAAATGCATTCTAAGAAAATAAGCAGTCTATTTAAAAAAAACAAAAAACAAAAACACAGACCAGGATGCTAATCACAAAATGCGTAATAACAAAAATTCTGCAGATAAAAACTTTAGAGGCCAGAGTGATATTACTGTGGGTAGGGTGTTTGCCTTGCAATGCAGTAAATCTAGGTTTGATCCCTGGCATTCCATAGGATGCCCCAAACATTGTCAGGAGTGATTCTGGAGAGCAGAGGAGCACTACTAGGTATAATGCAAAAACAAAACAAAACCAAGAAACCTCAAGAGTTCTGTTTTGGGGTCACAACTGGCTGTGCTCAGGGATCACTCTCAGGGGACCACATCAGATGCTGAAGATCAAACCAGGTCTGCTATGTGCAAGGCAAGCCCCTACCCACTATACTATCCCTCAGTCTCTAAACCCAAGAGTTTTTCTACACAAAAACCCAAGAATTTTCTACACCAAAAGTTCAACAAATTCAACAAATATTTGTTGTGTATTAATGTATACCAGGAACTTCTATGCAACAAGAATAGAACAATGATTTAAAAGAAAGAAAGAAAGAGAAACAGAGAGGAAGGAAGGAAGGAAGGAAGGAAGGAAGGAAGGAAGGAAGGAAGGAAGGAAGGGGGCTGGGAACATAGCTCAACAGTCAGGGGCACATGCCACGTACTGAGACCTAAGGTCTAACCCCAGCACATCACATACCCCTGGCACCGCCACATAGCCAGCTATATGCCTAGAGAACCCTAAGCACTGTCAAGATAGCTCTGACTGTCCCCAGCACTGCAGAGCCAAAGCAGCTTAGCAGTGAACTTCCTGGCTCAGCCAAAGATGGTCTCAGGCCCCCTGAGCAGTGATTGGGTGGAACTTCTACACACACACACACACACACACACACACACACACACACACACACACACACCACTGTTTCCATGCAGCCTACAATATAATGAAAGAAGAAGTAAGGCAATACAGAATTAAGTAAAGTATATAGGGGCCAGAGACACCTCAAAGAGCTAGAAAATATACTTGGCACACACAAAACCCAGATTCAGTCCCCTGCATCATGCACCATCACGTCTCCAAGCACTTCCTGGAGTGACCTTTACACGGGCACCAAAAGGAATCCATGAGCAACACTAGGTGTGACCATCCACAGACAGAAAAACAAGAACTTTATCAAGTGGTGCTAAGTACTAGAGAAAAAAACAGATGTAAAGAAGGAAAGATCCTACAATTTCAAAGAGGATCAGGGAACATCACATTGGTAACAGATGAAACAGATAATTAGATAATAAATGCATTATGGTATATATGCTTTGAAACATAGTTCAGCCATTTAGTATATATTTACTAGCAAGAAAACAATAAAAGATTTTGCCACACGCACAAAATTAAAACACAAAATGTGAGCTGATGAATGTGAAACTTGTTTGTGGTGTTCATTCAACAATATATACTTCTATCGAGACATCATGTTTAAACTTATACACTATGACATGCATATCAGTAATATCTCAACAAAGCTACTGGAAATTTTTTTACAAGATTATAGAATGGGGGTCAAAGAGGTAGTACAGTGGGTAGGATAACTGCCTTCCACACAGCAAACCTGGATTCGATCCCAGCATCCCATGTGGTTCCCTGAGGCTGCCAGGAGTGAATCCTAAGTGCAGAGCCAGGAATAACCCCTGAGCACCAATGGATGTGGCCCAATAACCAGAAAAAAAAAATTTTAAATATTACAGAATGTTATTAGAGAAGAAATTATTTAAAATATTCCACTGAGGGGCCAGAGTAATAGTACAGTGGGTAGGGCATTTGCCTTGCACGTGGCTGACTCGGCTCAATTCCCAGTATCCCAAAAAGTTCCCAGTATCCCAAAAAGCACCACCAGGAGTAATTCCTGAGTGAAGAGCCGTAAGTAAGCATTAGGAACCACCAGGTGTTGACCCAAAAAGCCAAAAATGAAAAATAAACTAATTTGAAAAATAAAGTATTCCATTGAGGGGGCCAGCGTGATAGCACAGTGGATAGGGCACTTGCTTTATATGTGGTCAACCTGGATTCAATCCCCAGCATCCCATAAGGTCCCCTGAGCACTGCCAGGAGTAATCGCTGAGCATATAGCCAAGAGCAAGCCCTAGCCCTACGCACCCAGGTGTGCCCCCTCGGAAAAAAAATTTTTTTAATGAAGTATTCTACTGAGGCACTGGAACAACAGTACAATGGGTAGGTCATTTGTCTTCCACACAGCCAACCCAGGTTTGATTCCCATCACCCCGTATGTCCCCTGAGCCCTGCCAGGACTGATCCCTGAGCACAGAGCCAGGAGTAAGCTCTGATTACCACCAAAAATAAAACTATTCTATTGTTTGAAATTACTTGTGCATAAATTCTTATGCTTTAAATGAAAGAGAAAACAGTATGACAGTTTGATAATACCAAATAAGGCCTGGTATGAGAGCAGACAAGTGAAACAGTGACATTTGTGTTTTTTTCTCACCCACACGCATCCTCCTCCCCACACCTACACTGTTCAGAAAGAATTTAAGGACAGAAAATCCACATAGTCCTACAAGTTCTTTAACCCCATCTTCCCTCATCCTTCTTCCCCTCTTCCTAGAAACCAGATCAGTAATAGCGTGAGAGGATAAAAACTCAGTATCAGGGTAAACTGACTAAATTTAAAAAAAGAGGAAAACCCCAGTTTTAATTCAGTAGACAGGAAACAGATCCTGGGAGGCACATTTCCATCCTACAGATCTGCAAGATTTGAAGCAACACTATCTGATTCTGGTTCCCTAAATCATCTCCTACTAAATCCCAAGTGCCTTACAACGTAGCCAAGAGCAAGACTGACTCATTTACAGAGCTACAACATAATAAGCTACTGCAGGTCAAAGCTCTGCATCTTGTACATGAGTACCTACATTTTCTTAAGAACAAGAAAAGGACAGACTTGAATCTTTGTGACTCCTACCTCATCCCTTCCTCCATTACTGCACATGACAAGCTATCCTGAGTTAACTCATGCCCAACTTCACACACCCCCATTGCCTTGTCACGATTATCTCAGAGATTCACACAAATTCCCATCAAGATTCTCAATACTAAGTCCCCAATAAGAAAACTGCATAAGATGACCAAATATACTATTTTAAAATATTTTCTTTTTGGGTTTTGTTTTGCTGTTGGGGGGAGGGGGGTGTGAGTTTGGGAGTCAAACCTGGCTGTGCACAGAACTTACTCCTGCCTCTCCACTCAGGGATCATTCCCGGTAAGTGCTCTGTGCCATTATAGGCTGCCAAGAATCAAGCTTGGGTTGGATATGTCGCAAACAAACTATATGCTGTACTATCTCCCCAGCCCCAGGTCTGAATATTTTCAGTTAAACAGTATGAAGTTTTTTTTGGTTTTTGTTTGGGGACTACAACCAGCAGTGCTCTGGGGTTACTCCTAGCTCTGCACTCAGGGATCACTCCTAGGAGTGCTTGGGAGACCATATTACCATATTACCATATTGGGTAAGGAGGATCAAACCTGGGTTGGGTGCATGCAAGGCAAGTACCCTACCTGCTGTACTATCTCTCTAGCCCTAAATAATAGGATGCTTAGTATAACCTTATTTATAGATAGGGTACAGATAAATTTGCTCTCAACTGTAGCATATCAGACATTTTTTCCCCCACTTTACCTTGTTTTTTCTTATAGTTTGGATAACATGGTTACAATTATGTTACCAATTAGGGTACTGATGTACAGTTAACTACACCCACCACTTTCTAGTTCACATCTTCATTCCCCAGTACTACTTGGTAATGTTTTGTAATGCAAGGCCAAGGGCTTGTCATCACTCAATACTATCCCCTTGTTTGTACCTATATACTGCAGATAAGTGAGATATATATAAAGTATTTGTCTTTCTGCCTCTGACTTGGTTGTATTTATTTATTTTTCTTTTCTTTTTGCAGGAGTATTGCTATTTATTCAGCCATTGATTAGGCTGATTGAATTGGGCATGAACTCCACCATTTTTTTTCATTTTTTATAATTTTATTTATTAAATCACCATGAGAGCAGTTTCAAAGCTTTCAGGTCTAAGTCTCGGTCATAGAATGAAATACCCGTACCTTCACCAGTGCCCATTCTCCACCACCAAAAACCCCAGTATACCCCCATCCCACACCCTCCACCTACCTGTGGGGCACATTATTTCCACATTACTCTATCTCTACTTTGATTACATTCAGTATTTTGACACCAGACCCACCATTATTATTTGGGATTTTACCCCAACACTCAGATCTGCTGAAAAGGCAAGAGTAGAAAATGTGTTTTCTATTGCTGGTTAGGAATAACATAAGATGTCGCGCAGCTGCAGTAGTGGCTGTGCGATTTTAAAATTCCGAAATTTTAACAATTAAATCTGGAAGGATTTCTGCCAAAACCTACAGGGTTCTGAGATTTGTTCCTGAGTCTCTGGGATCATGGCCGTTAAGCAGCTTGATCAGGAGACAGAGAGGATGTTCGTGGGTGGCGAATCGGGGTCTTGTTGGGACGGGGAGGAAAGGCCGGCTCCACCCCCATCCCATGAGGCCGAGCGTGTCTTGTCACTGAAGGCCCAAACCTGACTGTCCAATGGCCTCTGGAGGATGGCAGCCACCGAACTGCCAAGGGGGAGCAGGCGGAGGGACAGCACCCTTTCCCCCCCCTGGGGTGGCCCATAACAGCAACCTACTGCGGGGTTCAGACACATTTCTGCCAAAAGCCACTAGGTTTTGAGATTTGTTTCTGAGTCTCTGGGATCATGGCCATTAAGCAGCTTGATT